CTTCACAGTAATTCAATTATTTTCATGAAGAGAATGAAATTCCTTTTTAGAAATTTAATTATTTTCATAAATAATAAAGTTCTTCTCCAAAATTCAATTATTAAAAAAAAATTTTAATAAGAATTTCGATTTAATTTAAACCAAACTTTTAATTTTTTCATAAATAATCAAAAATTCAGTTGAATTCAATTATTTACAAATTTTATATACAAAACTTTATAAAATTTCAATTTTGAATGAATTTAATCAGAAATTTTAAAGATCTCAAATTTTTGAAAAATTTTAATAGGTAATTCTAATTCTTCTGAAATTAGTTAAATTTTTTAAGAAATATTTAATTAATTATTAAAAATAATGGATTTATAGAAGAATTTTAGTTTAAAACACTAAAAAAATTGAATTTTGAAGAAGTTACAAATAATTGCAGAAATTCAATTATATTTTCAAAAGTAAAAAAATTCTTCGCAGAAATTCAATTATGTTCAAAAACTTTTTTAAATTCTCGTCAAAATATCAAATATTTTTATATAAATAGTAAAATTCTTGGAAAAATTGCAATTATTTTCAAAACATTTTCTCAATTCCATCCATGATTTTCAATATTTACTATTTTAATAAAATTTTCCAAAAAAAATCAATTATTTAAAAAAAAATTTTGATAATATTCTATGCAAATATTTAATTATTTTCATAAACAATAAAAATTTTACAAGAATTCAATAATTTATAATTTTTTTTTATACATTTCTCCATAATAATTCCATTATTTTCGTATATTATAAGTTTAAAAATTTGTTGATAAAATTGTTTACGAGAATTAAATTATTTCCAATATTCACATTGAATTGAACTCCTCGAAAGAATTTAATTATATTTTCATAAATTACAAAATTCTTTACAGGAATTCAATTATTTTCAATTCAATTTTATTTTAATATAATTTCCAGAAAGAATTTATTTATTTTTTAAAATTTTACTAAAATTCTTTTGAATCAATTCAATTATTTTCGCAAATATTAATAAAATTTCTTGAAAGAATTCAATTATTTTTAGAAATATAATAAATTTCTTCACAGAAAGTACATTATTTTCAAATGCAATTTTAATATTCTTTCTTGGAAGAATTGAATTATTTCTAGAATTTTTAATAAAATTCTTCTAAAGTATTTAATTGTTTTCAAAAATTTTAATAAATTTTTTTACAATAATTCAATTATTTTTAATATAGTTTTAATTGTAAATTGAATTCCTTATATTACTTTAAAAATGTTCAAAAAAAAGTGTTTCTTGCTTTTAAATTAGCAAATTTTACTAATAAATAGTAATTTCTACTAATTTATTAAAAATTTGCTTTTGAATTAGTAAATTTGACTAATAAATTAGGGAAAATTACTATTTATTAGTAAAATTTACAAATTCAAAAGCAAAAAATTCCTCGAAAAATGTAATTATTCTTAAAAATCTTATTAAAATTCGTCAAAAGAATTCAATTATTTAAATTTATATTTAAATATTGTTCTTAGCGAATTGACTTTCTTCATGTTTTATAAAAATATTCTTTCAAGTTATTGAATTTCAAAAGGTTTGAATTTGAAAATTTTGGAATTCTTTTTTCTTATGAAAAAATAATAATGATTAATAAAGAAGTTAAGTTATTGATGTTTTCGAATAATTTTACAATTAAAGAAATTCGTAAATAAATGCGATAGAACATTTTTTCATTCTCATCACATGAGAAGGTGTTAATTTTGTTTTAAGTATCTAATAATTTTTAGAGTGAATCAAAAATTTTTTTTAGGGTCAGGAAGAAAGTCTAAATTTTGGTCTAAAAATCAGGAAAAAGTCAGGGAAAAAGAAAATCAATTTTTTGTGACAACCCTGTAAAAGTTCTACAAAAAAGAAATGTCAGGTATAATTCTCTAAGAATTTTTTTTACTACCAGAAATGATAAATAACCAGTTTTCATCTTTCTAATCGGTTTTAAGACTTAAGATGCTCCACATTATATTTTGAGCATAATCTATGTTTAGAATGGTGCCCCCCTTCCTCTTCGTCTTCATGAATATTCTACGATATATTTACCACCTCGCAATAACGCATACGCGCTTATTTTATATCAATGGAACACTTGAGAACACACCCAATCGCACAAACACAGACACACACACTCAGGTATACAGATGATTACCCTCGATTCTACGCTTCGGGACACTTTTCCATCCGTCACGCGTTACACGCGAGTCTACGATGAAGATCGATAGCAAAGAATCAAAGTTAAAACCAACGATAAATTCTATCTTCAAGGGGATGATGATCTTTTTCTTCCGCAAGTGAGCAAGATCGAAGAACTGAAAAAGCCAGGAAATTATTCAAATATTTCTTTCTGTGAGGAAAAATATTTCATTTTCAAATTAAATTCGAATTATTTTCAAAAATAATCAATGTTGCCACAAAGGTTTAGTTTTTTTTTTCTTTGATTTCCAGAAAAAATTTTCCTTTTCCCTGACTCTAAAGAATATTCAAAATAAAAATTTTTAGATACTCAAAAAAATGTTCTATTGCATTTTTTTACGAATTTCTTTAATTGTAAAATTATTCAAAAAAATCAAGAATCTTTTTTCTAAATAAATATCTAATAATTATTATTTTTCCACAATTACTAGAACTTCTTCAAAATTATTTTCATCTTTTCAATTCAATTATTATTTTCTAGAATTTATTTCAAAATAAAATTCTTCTTTAAATTAATTATTTTTAATAATTTTCAACAATGTTCATTGAGAATTTTCAAATACATTTCGTTACAATTCAATTTTACGAAAAATTTCGATTATTCAAAAATTCTTCAATTAAATATTAGTATTAGAAAATAAAAACATTAAATAATTTCAAGAAAAAAAATAATTTCTCCAGAATTGTTAATTAAAAGTATTAAAAATTCAGATTTTCGAAGATTTTAATTTGAAACCTTTTCAAAATTCTATTTTTTTTAGTGTTTTTAACTAAAATTCTTCTCTAAAACGATTATTTTTAATAATTAAATATACATGTCAGAAAAGTTCAATTTTTTCAAAAGAATTTGAATAAAAATTTTTCAAAAATCTAAGACACCAAAATTTAGAATTTTATTTTTAATGCTATAAAAATTTAATTTTCAGTACTTTTAATAAAATTTCCTGACTTTTCACTGATTTTCCTGAACAATTTTACTTTTTTTGGACGTAGGTATTTTAATAAAATTTTTAAGAATAATTACATTTTTCGAGGAATTCGATTAAAATTGTATTAAAAATAATCGAAATTCTGCGATGAGCTTTATTATTTATGAAAATAATTGATTTCTTGCGAAGAATTTTATCAAAAATTTTTTTAAATAATTGAATTGTTACGACGAATTTTATTAAACTTTTTGAAAATAATTAAATTCTCGCAACAAATTTTATTAACATTTAAAAAAATAATAGAATTCCTAAGAAGAATTTTGTTATTTCTAAAAATTATTGAATTCTTTGGACGAATTTTAATAAAATTTTTCAAAATAATTTCATTTTGCGATGAATTTGATTAAAATTGTATTAAAAATAATTGAATTTTGGAGAAGAATTATATTATTTTTAAAAATAATTGAAATCCTGAGAAGAATTTTAATATTTATAAAATAATTGAATTCCTGAGAAGAATCTTATTATTTATAAAAATAATTAAATTCTTGCAAAAAATTTTAATAAAATTTTTAAAAATAATTGAATTCTTGCAACAAATTTTAAAAAAATTTTAAAAAATAGTTAAATTTCTAAGAAGAATTTTATTATTTCTAAAAATTATTGAATTCTTTAGAATAATTTTAATGAAATTGTATTAAAAATAATTATATTCCTGAGAAGAATTTTATTATTCTTAAAAATAATTGAAACCCTAAGAAGAATTTTAATATTTATAAAATAATTTAATTCCTGAGAAGAATCTTATTATTTATAAAAATAATTAAATTCTTGCGAAGAACTTTATACATTTTTTAAGTAATTGAATTATTAGGAAGAATATTGTTAAAATTTTTTTAAATAATTGAATTTCGGAGAAGAATTTTATTATTTAGAAAAATAATTGAAATTTTCACCAAATTTAAAAAAAGAATCTTGAGCATAATTGAATTAAAAAATTAAAAATAGTGAAAAGTCAGGAAAAACCAAAACTAATGAAAATTAGGAAAAATAATACTGTTTCTTAATAATAACGAAATGAAAACTTGCAGCAATAATTGAAAAATAAAACGCGTTAATGAAAATTAGAAATTAAAATTTAATCGACTCGATGAAATGGGAATTATGTCAAGTAAATAAGTGAATTATGTCTTTATTTAAGTGAAATAAAGTTCCCATCATTTATTCCTCTTCTCCACTCTCCTCTCTGGAAATGTCAATAATGATTTTTGAAAAAAAAGAACTTCCAGCGCCATCTTCTACCCACTGTTCTACATTCTAGCCCCTAATCTGTTTTATCCAAACAAATTTGCGAAAAACTAGATAAATTTCAAATTTAGAAGAGAAAAAAAATATGAATTGTTTTCTATTCTTTTCTACCCTCCAGTAATTACTAGAAAAAAATTCTCAAATTCGCACTTTAAAGAAACTAATTTCCTCATCGATTTTTCTACTCTCTAGAAAAAAATGGTTTTTATTAACAACATTTTCAGAAACTAAATTAATTATCAATTAAAAAAACGAACAATTTACAAAACAATTGAATTTAGATCAATCAATCAATCAATTGTAGAAAAAACTACAAACTGATGACCTTCTAATGATGTCATCAAGAAAAAAAACTCAATTGTCTCTAAGTGACATCAAATTTGATATGAATTAAAGATTAACAGAACTAATTGAATTGATTAAAATGAATGAAATGAATTAAATGAATTAAATGAATGAAATGTATAAAATGTATAAAATGAATAACATAAAAATGACTGAATGACAAAAAGAAAAGAATCCTTTACATACCCTCTCGAGTCTTTGAAAATATTCCCGTAAAAATGAAATTGGATTTTCAGGTTTGCCGACACAAAGTTGTACAATACAGTCTTTGAGAACTTGCTGAATATTATGTCTCTGCACGTAGTCCTCGCACTCACGTAAACTTTGCTCTTCCTCTAGATTCGCCGCCATGTTGTTATATATCAGAAAAAAAATTCAATCCAGGTCTTCACAATTCGCAGCACTTGTTATGTTTCGATTCGCCTTAGAAAAATTTCTCATCTACAGTTAAAACAATTTTCAAATGAATAACAACGTTCGAAGTTTAAAAATTTTTATACGCTGCAATATCATTGCGATCAGATAAATTGTTTCGTGTGTGACGTGTTACGAGTGTACATACTACGCTTTTAATAGTAACCAAATACTTTGACATATGTAGCGTGCATGTATATGTCAAATAAATATTATATGTCAGTGAATAACACGTGAGTTCCTGACCTAACACGCAAAACCAGTTACACTAAAATGGAAAGAATTGTTACTCACTGCGGGGTTGCAAGACCCTGTTGTCGGCTCTGTCAGGTGACTTGGAAATTTTTTCTATTATTTCCAAACAATTGAATATGATATATTTACTGTAATTTTTTTTTTTTTCTAAAAAAATTCATCTCTGACTGTATTTTTAAGAAAAAAATTACGGAATTTCCATCTTTGACTGTACTCCTTTTTTACCTAAAAAAAATGAATTTAATTAGAAATATAAAAAAAAATTTTTAAACTAAAATTTTTCTGAAATTAGTTAAATATTTTAATATATATTTAACTAATATCATTAAAAATAATGGATTTATAGAAGAATTTTAGTTAAAAACACTAAAAAAATTGAATTTTAAAAAAGTTACAAATAATATTGCAGAAATTCAATTATTTTCAAAAGTTATAAAATTCTTCTCCGAAATTCAATTATTTTCAAAAATTCTAAACAAAATTTCAATTATTTTTATAAATAATAAAATTTTGCTTCAAAATTCAATTGTATTTAAAAATTTTAATAAAATTCTTCTCCGAAATTCAATTATTTTCATAAAATCTTCGCAAACTTTCAATTATTTTCAGAAAATTAATTTAAAATTCTAAACAAAATTTTAATTATTTTTATAAATAATAAAATTTTGCTCCGAAATTCAATTGTTTTCAAAAATTTTAATAAAATTCATCGTAGAAATTGAATTATGTTCAAAAAGTAAAAAAAAATATTCTTGTCAAAATTTCTACTATCTTTATAAGTAATAAAATAATTCTTCTCCGAAATTAAATTATTTTAAAAAATTTTAATAAAATTTTCCAAAAGAGTTCAATTATTTAATAAAAATTTCGATACAATTTAAACCAAACTACTTTTAATTTTTGTCATGAATAATAAAAATTTTTAATTGAATTCAATTATTTACAAATTTACTAAAAATTTCTTCGCAGTATGTAATTCAATTATTTTCCTAAATAGAATGAAATTCTTTTTAGAAATTCAATTATCTTCATAAATAATAAAATTCTTTTTAGGAATTCAATTATTTTCATAAATAGTAAAACTCATCGCAGAAATTCAATTATTTTCAAAAGTAGTAAAATTCTTCTCAGAAATTCAGTTATTTTCAAAAATTTTAATGAAATTCTTTGCGTAACAATTCAATTTTTTTCAAAATAATTTAAATAAAATTCTTCCCAGAAATCCAATTATGTTTGAAAATTAACAAAAATTCTTGTCAGTATTTGAATTAATTTTTTTGAATAATAAAATTTTTCTCTAAAATACAATTATTTTCAAAACTTTTAATAAAATTCTTGGCAGAATTTCAATTATTTTTAATATAATTTTCATCAAATTTCTCGAAAAAGGCAATTATTCTTAAATACTGTATTAAAATTTGTCAAGAGACTCGAATTATTTAAAATTTTTTGATAAAATTCTTAATGAAAATTTAATTGTTTAATAAAATATTTATTTCTATAGTTAAATAATTGAATTCTCGTAGAATTTTCTAATTAAAATTGATTTCTGAATAAATTTCAATAAAAATTTTAGATAATAATTGAATTTTGAAAAGGTTTCAAATTACAATTTTGGAAAATTATATTTTTTAATGAATTTAATTAGAAATTTTTAAAAAATTATTTTTTTGAAAAATTTTAATTACAATTTTTTTAAAATTTGTCAAATTTTTAAATTTATATTTAATCATTAAAAATAATTGATTTAGAGACGAATTTTAGATGCAAATTCTAAAAAAATAATTAAATTTTGGAAAAGTTACAAATAATAGGTAGCAATTTTTAGAAATAATTGAAATTTGAAAGGGTTTCAAACTAAAATCCAAATTTTTAATACTATCAATTAACAATTCTATCGAACTAATTTTTTTTGAAAAATTTTAATTACAATTCTTTTGAAATTATAGTTGAATTTTTATATATATTATTAATTATTATTTTATTAATAAAAATAATTGGTTTTGAGATGAATTTTAGTTAAATACTCTTCAAAAAATAATTGTATTTCAAAAGGTTTCTATTTGAAATTTTAGAAAATTGGAATTTTGAATTAATTTAATCAAATTTCTCAAAAAATGAAAAAATTGTTAAAAATTTTATTAAAATTATGAATTCTGTAGAATTAATTTTTCTTAATAAGTTTAATGGAATTTTTTTTAATTATTTGAAGTTTTTAGTTTCTAATATATTTAATTGAAGAATGTCAGAATAATCTAAATTTCGTAAAATTAAATTGTAAACAAAAGAATTTGAAAATTCACAAAGGACTTTTTCAAAACTTAACTTATTAAAAAAATTTTAAAAAATTGACTAAAAGAAGAATTTTAGTCAAAAATTCTAGAAATGAATAATTGTAATGATGAAAATAATTTTTGAAGAAATTACAATAACAAAGTAGCAAACCTGTCGAAGACTCGAAGCCGGCTTTGATATCAAAAAATAATTAGCTACTTAAAATTATGACGAAATATTTTTACACTTATTTGTAATATCTACGAGAAGTTACTTTAATATTATAAAAGATTAATTATTTACTTGCAAAATTAAGTAGAGTATAAAGTGAAAAATGATAATGACTTACCAAAGAAGGTGAGGAACGTGAGTTATGAAACTTTAACATTTTGCACGATCCGAAGTTTTGTGCATTAGATATTAAAAGAAAGTTGTTTACCAACAAAGCAAGTACACTTTTATGCTTCATTTTCTTCATTATTTTTATTTTAATCACTTCTAGTCACTTTGTAAACTTTGTAAAGAACAACTTAACAATCAACAAAAGACCGTTACACTTTTAATGGCGTTCAGGCATTTAAGCGAAAATTAGGTTATGTTTACAATTATTCTAAAGAGAAGCTTTCTGATTGGTCAAACTGAACTAGACCAAAGCGGTTCGTCCAATAGAAAACGACTAACAAATCATATGATCAAGGTTGGGAAGGTAATGAAACTTTCTTTCAAAAACGTACCAAACCCTGCAATGATCCATCAAGGGGGCTCGGGGCTATTAAACGCATTATATATGATTAAATGATCATATTTTATTCTGTTGCGCTCGATGCGCCGATCGGATAATAATTTACGCTAATTTCCAAATTTTGTGTTCTTAGTAAATAGTCGATTTTCTTTCTTCCAATCACTCAGTGTTTCAAAAGTGTAAAATTCCCTTTAAAGATTGTAAATCGATTAAAACCACTTGTTGAACAAACGCAAGACCCCTACCTGCGTTCCAGGAAGCATCCTCATTTTCGACAGGTAACTAATTTGTCACAGCTTTTAACTGTGTGTCCCCAAAATGTGCACTCAATTCATCTGATATTAATCACTTACAAATATAATTAATCCCCAATTTCATTTCCCATACGCTTCAGAGTTATGTTTTTTGATTTTTTCTGGCATTATTAATTTCAATCCTATACTTTGACCGACTTTTGTCATTTAAATGTCCTCCTTGCAAGTTGCAACCCTTTATTCCCGATTACTTGGCTTATTTTTCGATTGGAATTTTTTAAGCAAGTGAACACGTATTGGTGACAAAATAGAGTTATTTTTTTTCGGAGGAATAATTGTAGAATTAATTATTATTATTATTATTGACAAATATTACAGTGTCAATGATTGGAAGTTGGTGAAGGGTGATGCAGGGCACGATGCCAGTGAAAACAAAGTCTCGTGTGCCGGAAACAATGGGTGTTGCAGATGGACTCGTGGATGCTAGAGCAAAACAAGTGTTACGAGAAGCAGTAGACGCAGTTGTCAACAGTTTCGCTAAACACACACAGGGCTACGGAAGAGGTGAGTGAACCCGAAAAAAATTCCAATGATAAACTCGTTTTTGATAGTTTTTGCCTAATTAATTCGTTTCGCATATTTTTGTGCAATGACGTAATAAGGAGTATAGTAGTAATTTATTTCAAATAATAATTTAAAAAAAAATTGTTAATAATTAAATATAAATGTACAGGTTTGATAAATTCATCTATCAAAACCTACTATTTACTATTTTCAATTTAAAAAGATTTTTTATAAAATTCACAGCAAGAATTCAATTATTTTAAAAAATTTTTAATTCTCCGAAAGAATTCAATTATTTTTACAAATCAAATTCTTCTCACGTTTTCAATTATTTTCAAAAATTTTAATAAAATTCTTGCCAATAATTTAATTATTTAAAAAAAATATTTTAAAGTTCTTCTCAAGAATTCAATTATTTTTATAAATAATAAGATTCTTCTCATGAATTCAATTATTTTTAATACAATTTTAATCAAAATCATCAAAAAATGTAAATATTTTTAAAAATTTTATTAAAATTCGTCCAAAGAATTCAATAATTTTTCGAAATAACAAAATTCTTCTTAGGAATTCTATTATTTTTTTAAATGTTAATAAAATTTGTTGCAAGAATTTAATTATTTTCAAAAATTTTAATAAAATTCGTCGTAACAATTCAATTATTTAAAAAAATTTTTGATAAAATTCTTCGCAAGAAATCAATTATTTTCATAAATAATAAAGCTCATCGCAGAATTTCAATTATTTTTAATACAATTTTAATCAAATTCATCAAAAAATGTAATTATTTTTAAAATTGTTATTAAAATTCGTCCAAAGAATTCAATTATTTTTATAAATAATAAAATTCTTCTCAGGAATTCAATTATTTAAAATTTTAATAAAATTTGTTATACGAATTCAATTATTTTCAAAAAATTTAATAAATTTCTTCTCAGGAATTCAATTATTTTTAATACAATTTTAATCAAATTCATCAAAAAATGTAATTATTTTTAAAAATTTTATTAAAATTCGTCCAAAGAATTCAATTAATTTTATAAATAATAAAATTCTTCTCAGGAATTCAATTATTTAAAATTTTAATAAAATTTGTTATAAGAATTCAATTATTTTCATACAAAATAATAAAACTCATCGCAGAATTTCAATTGTTTTCAATAAAATTTTAATTGAATTCCTCGAAGAAATGCAATTATTTAAAAAAAATTTTTTTTAAATTCTTTCAAAGAATTCAATTATTTAAAGATATTTTCATATAATATGTTTATTAGAATTTATTAATTATTTTCTATACATGTTTAATCAAATTTCTTGAAAGAATTTAATTATTTTCAAATTATTGAATTTTACTAAAATTTTTAGAAAATAATTGAATTCTTTCAAGAAATTTATTACAATTTACTAAAATAATTTAATTAATTCAAGAAATTTTATTAAAATATGAAAAATAATTGAATTCTTTCAAGAAATTTCTTTAATTTATTGAATATAATTGATTTTGTTATAAATTTTAATTAATAATTTTAGGAATTAAAATTATATTACAAATTATTGATAGAAAATTTAACTCTTTTAAACAATTCTATTAGAGTTTTGGTAAATAATTAAATTGTTTTGAAGAATTTCTTTAAGTTTTTATGAAAATAATGTAGTTTTTGAAATAATTATAATTGAAAATTTGGAGAATAATTGAATTATGCAAAGAATTATATTTAACTTTCAAAAATAATCGTGCCTGTTAATAATGATAATTAAACATTTGATTATTGAAGTTTATTAAAATTGTATTGAAAATAATTGAATTCCTCAGAAGAGTTACTTATAAAAATAATTGAATTGTTTCGAAGGATTTATTAGTATTTTCGTATTTTAGAAAATAATTGAATTCTAGCGAAAAATTATATTAATATTTTTGAAAATATAAACATTAAAAATTAATTATGTACTTAATAAGTGAATTTTTTAAATTTTGATTTTAAAATTATTCAAAAATATATTTTTGAAATTAAAAAATTTTGTAATTAGCATAATAATAATCGAGTGCGAAGCCTGTAAATATAATTAATTATATTATTATTAAAATTAAAATTAATTATAAAATTAACGCAATTTTATTATAGTTTTAATTTTTTCGATTGAAATAAATTGAGATTAAATTATTTTCAGTCAATGTGGTCGAAGCTCTTCAGGAATTTTGGCAAATGAAGCAAAGTAGAGGAACGGAACTTCGGAATGGAGCTCTTGTTATTTATGAATCAGTACCTGGAGCAAATCCTCCTTACGTTTGTTACGTGACACTTCCCGGAGGCTCGTGTTTTGGTAGTTTTCAAAATTGCCCAACAAAGGCGGAAGCCCGACGATCAGCGGCAAAAATTGCACTTATGAATTCAGTTTTCAATGAACACCCGTCAAGGAAAATTACCGATGATTTTATTGAGAAAGCGGTAGCCGAAGCTAGAGCTAGTTTCGCTAAGCCTTCAGCTGCAAATGGCATTAGTAATAAAATCCAAGTGAGTCAAGTTTATATTCTGATAAAAATATTATTACTTTTACTATTTATTTACCGTTAGATAATTAATAATAGATATTTAATTAATCGATAGTTATAATAATCAAATTTTTATTTGAAAGATTTTTCCTTCCATTATAATATTTATAAAGAACAGAGTTGCCACAGGTCAGAGAAATCGGAAAAAAGTCAGGATGTCATGGTGGAAAAAATAATTTAAAAAATGAATTAAAAAATTTCTTAATAATAATAATAATGAAATTTAAAAATTGTTCCAGGGGAAGATAGACGATAAGGAAGATCCGAATACTGGAATAGGAGCATTTCGTTTTATGCTCGAGTGCAATCGTGGTCGAACAATGCTCGAATTTCAAGAATTGATGACTGTATTTCAACTGCTTCATTGGAATGGCTCATTAAAAGCAATGCGAGAAAGACAATGCAGTCGTCAGGAGGTTGTTGCACACTATAGTCACAGGGCTCTCGACGATGATATGCGCAGTCAAATGGCCCTCGATTGGGTTGCCAGGGAACACGAGAGTGGAGGCGGTGTTGTTGCAATGGAATTGTCACTTGCCGAACGCGAACTCGAAACCGCACGACTAGCAGGTCGTGAACTTCGATTTCCCAAGGAGAAGAAGGATATTTTGATGCTTGCTCACGCTCAGGTTTGCCCTCAATAACTTGACAATCACAAAATTTACAAAAAAAAAACAACATATTATGCTAAATTAGCAAAATCTAATCTATTTTTTTAGAGAAAAAAAAGATTGACTGAATATTTTTTTTTTTTGAGATTCTGGAAAGTAACGTGATTTAATTTTTCGAGTCAGTAAATTGTAATTTTATTAACAATTTTAATTAGTTTAAAATTTTTTAAATCAATTTTATTATATAATTATATATTAGTTTAAATATATAATTATATATTACTATAATTATATATTATTTTAATTATATAATTATATAATTATATATTATTTTAATTATATAATTATATATTATTTTAATTATATAATTATATATTACTTTCAATATATAATTTACAGGCCTCGGATCGACTTTAAGGTGCAAAAAAAGTCGCTTTAGTCGATTTAAAATAGAAAAAAAAGTCGAAAAAGTCGTTTATTTAATTCTGTGTCATCACAAAAATTTTATTTTTTATTCTTCTGACCTTTCACTGATTTCTAAATTTAATTATTTAAAACTTGAATAATTTCGTTAAATAAATATTTAAATACTTCTTGTTTGTTTTTATACGGGAATAAAATTTTATAAATTTCTATTCAAAACCTTCTGAAATTTAATAACTTCTAAAAATTACAACTTTAATTCTCTTAAAATTCAATTATTTTCTATAATTTTTAATCAAACTTCTTCTCGAAATCAATTATTTTTGATAATTTTCCGAAAGTTCTTAGAGAATTCAATTATTTAAATACAACTTGGAATGTTTTCAGGATCTTAATTTTTGTCAAATAAATCTGTTTATATTGTGACCTTAAGGCCACAATATAAACAGATTTATTATTTAAATACAAAAATTCAATTCTTTATAATAATTCCAACTGTCCCATGTTTTTTTAAGTTATTAATTAATTTTCAAAAAATTATAATAAAAAAATTCTTAAAATTAATTTTTCAAAAATATTTTTAAAATAATTTATGAAAGATAATAGTTTTTCAATTATATATAGAATTGAAAAATTTCCAAACAATTGAAATTTGGTAAATTCTATTAAAAAAATAATTGAATTTTTTAAGAATTTTAATTATTAATATAAACGCGATTTCTACAAAATTTTAATAAATCTAAAAAAAATCATATGTTGTTCAAATGTTAAAAATAATTGTAAAAAATTTTAATGTTATTATTTTTTGTATGTATTTGAATTTTTGGAAATTTGTATTTAAAAATATTTAAAATAATTTAATTATTTTAATAAACTTTGCGTTCTTAGAACGCAAAGATTCTAAGAATTATTTTTATGAAAAATATTTTAATATAATTTTTTTGTAGCTAATTTTCATTAATTACCATTTTTAAATTTACACTTGAAGATTTTTATTAAAATTTTTGAGAAATCAATTTTATTTTCAAAATTTGCAATTAAAATTCTTTTAAAGTTTATTTTCACAAAATTTTTATCAAACACCTTGAAAAAAATCAATTATTTTCAATTACATTTTACAAAATTTCAATTATTGAAACTCTTTTTTATTGCAAATTTTTGAAAATTTATTTAGTAATTTATAAAAATAGTTAAATTGTTTCGAAGAAATTATTAAAAATTTTAGGAAATAATTGAATTTTATGGAAATATTTGAAAATATTTGAAAATATTTGAATTCTTCGGAGAAATTCAATTCAAAATGTTTTGAAAATAATTGAATTCCTGTAAAGAATTTTACTATATTTATAAAAATAATTAAAATTCTTGCGAAGAATTTTACCATTTATAAAAATAATTATTGAATTGTTTCGAAGAATTTATTAAGATTTTAGAAAAATAATTGAATTTATTCGAAATATATTAAAAATTATTTTAAAAATTAAATTCTTCCAAGAAATTTAATTTCCATTATTTTAAAAATTTGCAATTAAAATTCTTCAAATGTTGATTTTCAAAAAATTTTTAAAAAACACTTTAAAAAAATCAATTATTTTTAATTAAATTTTACAAAATTTCAATATTTATTGAAAATCTTATCAATTGTAAATTTCGAAAATAAGTTGCATTTTATACTAAATATTATTGCAATATTCAGAAGAAAAGTCGAAAAAGTCGTAGTTTTTGAAAATAAGTCGAAAAAAGTCGAAAATGTTATAATATCCGAGGCCTGAATTTATATTAATAAGTAATTTTGTAATTTTGCTAATTGCTATTACAAAAGAATCATTTTGATAAATTGGAAAAATGATATTTAAAAACGTGAAATGCGATTAAGTTTTTTTTAAGAAATAGATCTCTGACAAATTTAGAAATCAAATTGCTCAGGCATTACATTAAAATAGAATTTTTCCTTCTATCAAAAATTAATTTTTATCTCAAATTAATCATCGATTTTTATTCATATGTAAATAATAATAATACGTGCAGTGCGTATTAATCTCATTTCATAAAGTATTTTTAATTGGCTTCCATTATAGAATTGTATGAAATTGTTTTACGTTGATAGTGTCTATGCATCTCTTAGATGAAAACGAAAAAGAGGAAAAAAAAGAAGTTTTAATTCGTAAATTTTACTAAAATATTATTATTCGGATGAAAAAAAACTAATATATAAGCGAAATGATGCAAAATTTTCTTTTGCAAAACTATAAAAATTGACAAGAAGTCTGATTTTCGGTTTGTGTAGTTTTAAAAGTTTAAGTCTACGCTATATTGTAGATGTATGCTGCAGTTGTGACTATTGTCATATGTTGTGATACATGTTTAGCATTTATTTGATTATTATGGTCATTTATCTTTAATGTTAAATTAAGATGACTCGTCTTCCTAGCACCATTATGGTGACATTTTTTTTTTACATATTTTACAAGATTTATATTTTACAACAATACGAAAAACGTTGCTTTTTCCTACTATTTAAGTGTTAAATTAATAAATAATCAAAATTCTTTTTATTTAGACTGATATATTTTCTAATCTACGGATACGAATGTATAAAAATTATTCAGATTCTCTAAAGAAAAAAACGATTCTTTAGAAAAACTGAAAAATTTTGTTTATTGAAACCAGTAATTAGTGTTTAAGAAAATGAGATTTTATTTTTAGTCCCTAATTTTGAGATTTTTATACGAATTTAAGTAAAAATGGGACTCTAATGATAATGAATAAGTACGTTGAAGAGAATTATTTTTCACATATAGTTATTTTGCTAGAATTGAAATGTGAATTCCAGCGTTAGTTTATAATGAATTTTGCTTGCATGATCAAACTTGATGAAGAGAGATGAGATTTTAGCTTGACTGCGATTTTAATAGTATTCATTTTATAACAATGTTTATTTTCAATATTATTAATAAAAAAAACGTTTTACAATAGAACCCGAATAATTTCTCCTTTCATTTTTAAATATATATAATATTTATTTGTATAAATAGAAGTTTTCCTAAATTCGTTACGTGGTATTTGCGGCCGCTTTCTCCAGACCGGGCGAATTTGAATTTTGCTCTGGAAGAGGACTTCCTGTTTCTGGAAGTGGATGCTTTAGAATGTCGTCAATTAAACCGAATTCTTTTGCTTCTGCTGGTGACATGTATTTGTCTCGTTCCATACTATTTTCTACACAAGAATAATTAAAAATAATTAATTTGTCAGAAATTTTTATTAAAAGTACAGAAAAAGATTAAATTTTTAGTAATTTTAAGAAAATTCTGAATTTTGGAGTCTCTTTTGTTTGCCTCATAAACTACATAAAATTACCATGAATTCTAATACAAAACCTTCAATTTTTTATATTCAATTCAATTATGTACAATTATCTTTATAGATAATAATGTTCTTCTCCAAAATTCAATTGTTTTCAAAAATTTTAATAAATTTCGCAAACCTTTAATTATTTTCATAAATAATAACAAATTTACAGGTATTCAATTATTTACAATTTTTTATAAACTTCTTCGCAAAAATTTAATTATTTTCATAAATAATTAAATTTTTTAATTTTTACAGAGATTCAATTATTCTTATAAATAATAAAATTCTTGTTATAGGAATTTAATTATTTTCACAAATAACAAAACTCATCGCAGAATTTCAATTATTTATAATAGAATTTTAATCGAATTGCTCGAAAAATGTAATTATTGTTTAAAATTCTATTAAAATTCCTCTTATCTAAAGAATTCAACAATTTTCATAAATAATAAAATTCTTCTCAGGAATTCAATTATTTTGAAAAATTTTAATAAAATGTATTATAAGAATTTAATTATTTCTAAAAGTTTAAATAAAAATTTATTATAAGAATTCAATTATTTTCATATACAATAAAGAAACTCATCGCATAATTTCAATTATCTTAATTACAATTTTAATTGAATTTCTCAAAAAAAGCAATTCATTCTTAAAAATGTTATTAAAAATTCTTTCAAAGAATTCCATTATTTAAAGAAATTTTGATATAATTTATTTATTAGAATTTAATAATTGTTTTCTATACAATTTTTAATTAAATTTCTTGAAAGAATTTAATTATTTTCAAAAAATTGAATAAAATTCTTCGAAATAATTCAATTGTTTAAAAAAAAATTGAATAAAATTCTTCGAAATAATTCAATTATTTTTATAAATAATAAAACTCATCGTAGAATTCCAATTATTTTTAAATAAATTTTAATCGAATTTCTCAAAAATATAAAAATTCCACTGGGATTCAATTATTTAGAAAGTTTTTATAAATTTCTTCGCAATAATTCAATTATTTTCATAAATAATAAAATTCTTTTTAGGGATTCAATTATTTTCATATTAATATGAATAGAACTCATCGCATTATTTCAATTCTTTTTAGTACAATTTTAAGAAACATTAAATTATATTCATTAATTTGTTTATTTTTGTGTTTAAATAATTGAATTTTTGTAGAAATTACAAATATTTGCAATTTTTAAATATAATTAAATTTTGAAAATGTTTCAAGTTAAAATCTTTGAAAATCAGTATTTTTAATAATTTTAATTAACAATTCTGTCGAATTTAATTTTCTTGAGAAATTTTAATTCTAATTCTTGTAAAATTTATTGAATTTTTTTAATGCATATATTTAATTATAAATTATTCAATTATTAAAAATAATTGATTTACAGAAGAATTTTATTTAACAATTCCAGAAAATAATTAAATTTTGAAAAAGTTACAAATAATAGCAATTTACCTAAAGAAATAATTGAATATTGAAAAGGTTTCAAAGTAAAATCTTTGAAAATCTGATTTTTTAATACTTTTAATAAACAATTTTGTCGAATTTAATTTTTTTTGAAAAGTTTAATTGAATTTTTTTTAAAATTATTTGAAGTTTTCATATTTTAATATATATTTAATTGAATAATTTCCGAATAATCGATGAAGTTTTGTAAAATTGAATTGTAAACAAATGGATTTGAAAATTTTCAAAGGACTTTTTCAAAAATTAGAAATTATTAATTATTAATATAGATTGAGTAAATCATTATTTTATATTAAAAGAATATTGATTCTTTTAATATAAAATGATTTCGAATATTATTTTACTTACGAATTGTGATTATGTCAAGTCCGGTGTGTTTCGCGTAAATACCATTGAGTACACCTTTCAATTTAATAATTTCCTCGGCTTGAATTTGAATATCAGTCGCTTGTCCCCGAAAGCCTCCTGAAGGTTGATGAATCATAATTCTGGCATTTGGAAGTGCATGTCTCATGCCAGGAGTTCCTGCAGCCAGGAGTAAACTCGCCATAGAACAGGCCTGACCAACGCACCATGTGGCCACAGGGGGAAGAACGTATTGCATTGTATCATAAATTCCAAGCCCAGCAGTTACTGCTCCTCCGGGCGAGTTAATGTACATGTGAATCGGCTTCTTAGTACTGTCGGATTGAAGAAACAGTAATTGAGCAATAACCAACGATGACAAATCGTCTGTAATCTGTAAAGAAAAAGAATTACTCTCCATTCAAATATAAAATTGAGTCAGGGAATTTCAAATGAGTAAAAGCGTGGCAACAAGGTAATTACACTTAATTAAAATAAATATTTTTTAAATAATGAAATAGATAATTAAATAAATAAAATAAATAATGAAATAATTGTTTAAATTGATGCATTCCTGTTTAGATTATCATTATATTTATCTTAAAATAATGTGAGAAAAACAAACCGGTCCCATGAGACATATTATCCGTTCCTTCAGGAGCCTCGAATATATATCATAGGCACGTTCCCCACGTCCTGTTTGCTCAACAACCATTGGAATAAGATTCCTTGCCAATACTTTTTGCACATTCTTAAACATGTGAAAAAAATAAGGTTAGCAAATTCGCAAAATCCTGCACTTTGATTTACTGCAATACTTACGTGAACTTTAACTAAATTTGACACTTTCTGCAAAGTTCTTACTGGTAGCATATTGTCAATAACATAAGAAGTAAATTATATTTATTTTGATTTTAAAATTCACTATACCAATTCGTTGATAATCGTCAAGTCGTCCAAACAAAAAATTTTAATAGTTTAAGTTAGGTCATGAACACTCATAGTTAGGTTAGGTCATTGAACCCAAACTGGACAAATAATAATTGTCCATTTCGTTCATTGGTTGCTAAAAGTTCTTTAAATTTGAATCAGTGGAATAGGGTGTAATCCAACCAATGAACGCCTTTCTTAGTAACATGCGCATTTCCCTGTTTCTTTTTTGAGGTTAGGTTGGCAAATTTTGACAGATGAGAGAACTGCGAGTTTGACGCACGTGTTTATATTTTTAATTTAATTAATATTGTTTGATTAAAAGGAAATAATAGAGATTTAATTGTAATTAATTAGTAGAATAAAAGTATTAGCTAACAAATTATGGTAATGACGAGTACATTCTTAAGGGCAATTTCGACAAATTCACCAAAATCACTTTTCAAATTTCTTCTAAGAGAAAGTCAAAAATTGCCTAGAGAAGCGCAGCAATTTTATAAACATTCAATTAAACAAGTAAGTTTCAATATTTTAAATCACATAATTAAATGCAATTCAAGCCTTTTAATTGAATTGATCAGGAAAAAGCCAGGGATTTTTATTAAAAGCACTGGAAAGAATTAAATTTTTAGAATTCATAAGAAAATTCTAAATTTTTTGTGTCTTTTTTGGTTGCCTCATAAACTATGAAACAACCACGAATTCTAATACAAAACCTTCAAAATTTTTTTCTATTTCTGATCAGAATGAATTTTTTAATATTATTTAATTATTTCAAGAGTTTTAAGGCTATTATCTTGATAAATAATAAGTATCATTACTTATTATTTGAATGAATATTATTATTATTTAATTAAATATTATTTAATTTCAGAGTTTTAAGCAACACGTCGATGAACCTGATCCCGAACGAGTTAAACAAATAATGGAAAAAGCTTTGTCTGATGCGAAGTGGGTTCTGCAAAAGGTAAGTTTTTCATAATTAAAATTACTTTAGAAATTATATTTTGTAATTGTCTATAAAGAAATTGTATATTTACAGTATAAATCCGCCCCTAAAGCGACATAGTAGGAATGTGATTAGAAGAATGTAAAAGAACAATTTTTGATGATTAATTAAATTTGATTATCGCTTTTAAAATGGAATTCGTAGTAATAATTAGCGAAAAATGCAATGCAGACGTCACTCAATTTTGGCAAGCAATCGACATTTGGTTGAATAAGCCCCACGTAATCAATCGTCGAATTTTAGTTTCATCTCGCCTGATTACTTTTGAATACAAAGAAACAGAATCTGAATTATTCAGATGGATTAATGAATTAGATTTCAATTCTCTCGAAGCATCACAAGTGGAAAATTATGTTTTTTCTCAAAAACTTTTTCACAACTCTTCAAAAATTAATGCTAATCAATCTAGTTTCATCAATTTAGAAAATAGAGGAAAGTTTATAAACATCTCGAAACTGTTACCTCGGAATCAAGAAATATTTTCTCCAACATTGGAGGTGACACTTGTAGATAAAGAAACAAATAGAATTACTTCATTTTACAAATGTTTTTCAAATGAAAAGCAATCGTTGTGTTTTCAGTATCCATACAGAATAAGTTTTGAGAATAGTGAAATATTTATCAGTGTTGAAAAAAATTATCCAAATAATTCCTGTTTCAAATGGCTTAAGGAGCAATTATTTCCGAGATTAGTCAAATGGATGATGGATGAGGGTGATATGAAAAATAGTTTTATAAATGGATCTCTTAATTTAGTGCCGATGGATAGATACGCTGATTTGTACAGTAAACTGAAGGAGAAATATGGAGCAGAAATTGTGAAAATTTGGCCAGAGAACACAGATCCGTTAAAATTTGTTTATGAAGATATTGCCATTGCAACTTACTTGTTAATTATTTGGGAAAAAGAACGAGAGGAATTGGCAATTGAGGAGAAGCAAACGTTTTTAGATCTTGGTTGTGGGAATGGTTTATTGGTTCATATTCTCTCGAGAGAAGGACACAATGGTTTAGGAATTGATTTAAGGGAGAGAAAAATTTGGCATCTCTTTCCAGAAAGTACACATTTAGAGGTAAATAAAAATTTTAAATTTATATTCTCCAATTTCGTATTTGTCTATCAAAAACCTACTATTTACTGCTTTATATTTAAAAAGATTTTTATAAAATTCATCCCAAGAATCCAATTATTAAAAAAAAAATTTTAAAGTTCTTCGCAAGAATTCAATTATTAAAAAAAAATTTTAAAGTTCTTCGCAAGAATTCAATTATTTAAAAAAAATTTAAACTTCTCCCCAAGAATTCAATTATTTTTACAAATAATCAAATTCTTCTCGGGATTTCAATTATTTTCAAAAATGTTAGTAAAATTCTTTCAAATGATTCAATTATTTTTAAAAATTTTAGTAAAATTCTTTAAACGATTTAATTATTTTCTGAAAATTTTCGAAATTCAATTATTTCCAATATCTACTATTTTAATAAGAAATTTCACAAAAGAATTCAATAATTTAAAAAAATTTGTTACAAAATTCTTTGCAAACATTCAATTATTTTTATCAATAATAAATTTTTCACGGGAGTTCAATTATTTAAAACACAATTTTTATAAAATTTTTTGAAAAAATCAATTATTTAAAAAGATTTTAAAAAAATTGTCTTATTAAGCACATATTTAATTATTAATATTGTTTCTATTTTTTTAATCCTGTAAATAACATTCTTCATAAGAATTAAATTATTTTCATAAATAATAATATTCTTCTGAAAAATTCAATTATTTTTATAAACAGTAAAATTCTTTGCAGAAATTCAATTAAATTTTCTAAAATTTTAATAAATTTTTTGAAACAATTCAATTATTTTTATAAATAATAAAATTCTTCTTAAGAATTCAATTATTTTCAATGCAATTTTAATGTTATTAAATAATCAAACTTTTATTTATATTTATTAACAGACACGATTATTTTAAAAAGTTGAAAAAACTTCTTTGTTTAATTCAATTATTTTTAGAATTGAATTAAATTAAATTACAATTAAAATTATCAAAAATCTACTTTATTTTCAGTAAAACATAATAAAATTTTTCAAAAAAATTTAATTACTTACAAAAACTGAAATGAAATTATTCAATAATAAAATTTTTATTCCAATTATTAACAAGAACGATTATTTTTAAAAACTTGAAAGAAAGTCTTCATAAAATCCAATTGCCCACAAAATTTTCAATTAAACTCCATTACTTTTAAACAATAGAAAAAATAATTAAAATAAATTTAACTATCAGGATTTTTAAGAATTCATTTATTTTCATAAATCATAAAATTCTCCGAAGAATTACAATTATTTTTAATATAATTTTTAATTAGTTCATCGAGAAAAGCAATTATTCTTAAAAATTTTATTTATATTCTTCGAAAGAATTCAATTATTTAGAAAAAATTTGATATTATTTGCATTTATTTATTAGTATTTAATAATTATTTTCAATACATTTTTAATTAAATTTCTTGACAGAATTTATATTTTTTCAAAAATTTTAATGAAATTTTTCGTAATAATTCAATTATTTTCAAATAATTTAAAAAAAACTCTTCTTAAGATTTCAATATTTTTTGTAAATAATAGAATTCTTCTCAGGAATTCAATTATTTTTATAAATAATGAAAATTTTCTAAGATATTCAATTATTTTTAAAAAATTTAATAAAATTCATATACAAGAATTCAATTATTTTCATTAGTAATAAAAGTCATTACAGAATTTCAATTATTTTTACCTACAATTTAAATAAATTCTTTGAAAAATATAATTATTTTAAAAAATTTTATCAAAACTCTTCGCAAGGATTCAATTGTTCAATAAATTATTTATTTGGGGATTTTAATAATTGAATTCTTGTCAAACTTTCTAATAAGAATTAATTTAAAATTGAACTTAAGTTAAAATTTTAGGTAATAATTGAATATTAGAAGCATTTTTTAATTTTTATTTCGAAATATAATGATTAAAGTTTTGAATAATTTTATTCGAAAATTCTAAAAGATAATTGAATTTTGGAAGAATTATAATTGTAATTTTTAGAAAGAGTTAAATTTCAAGAAGGCTTTACATTGAAATCATTAAAAATATTTTAATTCCTGTGGAAAAATAAATAGATATTTAAATAATTGTTTAAAAAAATTATTCTATTTTTGAATATAATGTAATTTTCCAAATTATGAAAAAATTGAGTCGTCAAGTTTAATTTTTCAATAAAAATACTTTTTTACTACTTTTTGCTGCTTTTTCAAAATTAATTGTCGAGTACGAAGCCTTTATTTCAAAATTCATTATTTTAATTATTGTATTATTGTAATTATTCTATTATTTTCGCTTTTATTCGTTTTCTTTCTTTCTTTCTTTATTCTTTATTTAAAAAAAAAATTTTGTAAATTTGTACAGGTACGAACAATAATTCCATCATCAAAAAGTTTATTTCCGGATGTGGATTGGCTAATTGGAAACCACTCAGACGAATTAACACCGTGGATTCCCGTGATAGCGGCAAGAAGTTCCTACAAATGTCGTTTTTTCCTTCTACCTTGTTGCCCTTACGAATTTGACGGAAGAAAATACCAAAGAGAAAGCGCATCACGAAGTCAATATTTAGATTACATGCATTACATTCAAAGAGTCAGTGAGGAATGCGGTTTTCAAGTTCAAGTCGATAAACTAAGAATTCCATCAACGAAACGTACTTGTTTCATTGGCAAGAAAAGAACATACCCACCAGACACTGATCGTGAGAAGGAAATCAAAAATATCATAGACGAAAGATCATTGAAAAAATCCGACAAAAATTCTCCAACTCACGAGAAAAATCAATGGTCCCTAGATTTTAAACCCAGAGAAACTATCGAAAAAGTACGTAATTGTACTCAAATCGACAAAAATCTCATTGACGAAATAGTGAATACAGTAGCAAATTTTCTTTTATCGAAAACACGAATTATTTCTCTAGACAGTGAGAGAAAATGGAATGCCGGCGGTCTAATGGAATTAAGTCAAGTGGTTGCAATTATTCCCGAGAAGAGTTTAAAATCATTAAAAAACGAATGCGGAGGTTTACAAACTCTATTGAAAAACAAGGGTCACATTTTTTGCGTTCAAGCCGGAAAGGTAAGTTTTCGAATTCCTGGCAGTGAAACTGCAAATAAAAAACGAAAAAAGAATCGAAATACACAAAAGAGAATTCGAAAAGAAAAAAATTGTTGGTTCAATGAAAATCATCCCGATGGTTGTCCATTGTCCGACGAGATTTGTGATTTTAAGCACTAAACATTGTCAACAAGAAACAACAAGAAAATACAAATTTATCTGAAAATGAAGTCTTTAATTTCTTAAATTTTTAACAACTTATTATAAATTAGTTTAATAAGAATTAAGAACACATTGACTGCGATTTTTTTTTATCGCTGATAGAGTATTTCAGTTTCAATCGTAACAAATACGACAGACGTAGACATTTTTAAATTAGAATTAATAATTAAATCTTAATTTATACATTTCTTTTTTTTAAAGAAAAATTGCAAAGCTGAAAAAACGATAGTCGATTTGGGGAAACAAATTTTAATATGAAATTTTATTTCAATTTTAAATTTCTCATTCTTGACTCATGTAGGAAAAATCAGAAAAGAAGATTTATAGAAGTTTAAATAATCGTTTTTAAGATAAATAATCAACGAAAGAAATGTCGTCGAGACTCGTGTCGACAATACTTTCCTGAACTAATTTCGACGTTGGATCTTTCCAAAGTTTCTTCTCCTCGAGTAAATTCACTTGATGAGCTCGTTTAATGTGCGTTTGCAAATTTCCCTTTTGCGAAAAAGTGTATGTACAATATGAACAGTGAAATGGTCGATCACCGGTGTGATGCTTCTGATGCATTTGAAGAGTGTTCTTTTGTGTAAATGATTTATCACAAAGTTCACATTTAAAAGGTTTGTCGCCCGTGTGAATTCGCTTGTGTCTCTCCAATTGATTTCGTTTTATAAAAGTCTTCCCACAATATTCACACTCCCTTCGCATTGGTCCATTTCTCGATCTTCTTCGTCCACTGCTCTCGATTTTCCCCGAATTCGTGACACTGCCATTGATACCATAATTCGGAATATTAAAATTCAAAGCATTTGGATTGGAAATAGAATTCGCAATAGAATTGAAATTATTTTCTCCAACTTCCAGGACCATATTCAACAGACCCGATTGATCGAGATCTAGAGAATTCGTCTCTTGAGTGATAATAATACTTTCGGAGTCGTTCGACTCGGTAACATCCTGAGGATTGTCTTCTTGTAGATTTGCCAAACTGGGAAGAACGGAATCTTGAATGGCAATTATTCCGTCGGGTTGAATGGAAATAAGACCATTGGCGAGGAGAAAATGTAGATTAGCAACAAGTTGATTACTCTCGCTGACTGATAATACGGAATTGTTATTTACAATAGTTCCGTCGGGATTGAAGATTATTTGATTTGTCAGGGAGGATGTGTCTATTGTCACTGTGTCCATATTCGACGATTGATCCTCCGTCTCTTGCAGAGAATTGGAATCATCTTTTGCATTCGCTATTGTTTCAATGGCATTTTCAACGTCGGCCACAACACTCGCAATAGCCTCGGTTTTTCGTTGCTTTCGTTTTCGTGTTTGATTTTCCTTGTGCTCCTTCTCGTGGGACAATAAGTGGACTTTTCGGTGCCCTGAAGTTCGGAATCTCATGTCGCAAATCGGACACTTGAAGGGTTTCGAACCTAAAATTTTGGAAAATAAAAATTAAAACTGAAACTAAAATTAAAATTAAAATTAAAATTAAATTTAAAATTAAAATTGAAATTGAAATTGAAATTGAAATTGAAATTGAAATTAAAATTAAAAATAAATACAAATTTAAATTTAAATTAAAAATATTTAAATTAAAATTGAAATTAAAATTAAAAAACTTAACGTTAAGAAAATTGACCAATTAATCAATCGGCAAAAAAAAAGAATTATTTCTAAATTGAAACGTACCAGTGTGAAGTCTCATATGAACTTTCAAACTCCCTTTAGTAGCGAAGAAACTGTTACACACGTGACAACTCAATGTTTTCTGTCCATTGTGAATTTTCATATGACAATCGAGAGTGCATTTAACTGCGAAACTTTTATTGCAAAATGGACATTTGTAGGGTTTTTCTCCGGTGTGAGTTCGAAGATGCCTCGTGAGATCACTGGGTTTTCGGAAAGTTTTTGGACAGTATATACATTTATTTTTTTCTGGTTTCTTCTCTTCTTTATCCTCCATATTCTATTGTTAATAAACAAAATCAATCCATTATTATTAGGAATAAAATCCTATCATTAAGTAAAAATATTATTTAATTATAATTATTTATTGTTTTCAAACACTTTAATAAAATTTCACAAAAGAATAGAATTATTTTTCTAAATTTAATAAAATTCTTCGCAAAAATTTTGATTACATTTTTTATTATTATTTATTATTATGTTCGAAAAATTTAAATAAAATTCTCCGCAGAAATTCAATTATTTTCATAATTTATAAAATTTTCCACAGGAATTGAATTATTTTAAAGAATTTTACTAACATTCTTCGTAAAAATTTATTTAATTAAACACTTTAAAAAAATTTAATTCTTTTCCAAAATAATAACATTCTTTGCCGAAATTCAATTATTTTGAAAAATTTTAATTAACATGAGAATTGAAATATTTTCAACACAATTTAAAGTGAATTTTTAATAAATTAAAATAACAAAATTCAATTATTTTCGAAAAATTTGAATAAAATTCTTCGCAGAAATTCAATTATTTTCATAATTTATAAAATATTCCATAGGAATTTAATTATTTTAAAGAATTTTAATAAAATTCTTTGCGAAAATTCAATTATTTTAAAAATTTTGATTAAATTCTTTATGATAATTGAAATACTTTCTATACGATTTCAAGTAAATTCCTCTAAAAAAATTCAATTATTTTTAAAAATTGTAATTAAATTCTTCTTAGAATTTCACTTATTTTCATAATTTATAAAATTATTCGCATGAATTTAATTACTTTCAAGAATTTTACTAAAATTCTTTACAAAAATGTTCTAATTTTGAAAAATTTCTATAAAATTCTGTCTATGAAAAACATTTAATTAAATAATTTGAAAACATTTAATTCTTTTCCTTAAATAACAAAATTCTTCACAGAAATCCAATTATTTTGAAAAATTTTAATTAAAATCTTTATGATAATTGAAATATTTTCAATATAATTTTAATTAAAATCATTATGAGAATTGAAATATTTTCAATACAATTTTTAGTAAATTCATCGAAAAAATTCAATTATTTACAAAAATTTTAATAACATTCGCAGAAATTCAATTATTCACAAATAAATAACAATAAGTATTCAAATATTTATTAAACAAAAATTAATTAAATTTGAAAAATTTTATTTAGAAATTCTGAAAATATTAAACTAAATTTTATCTTGCAAACAATTTGTTTTTCTAACTTCAAAAAAATATTTTTAAATATTATTGTACTTTGTGGATGAAATGTAACTAAAAATTTGAAAAATAATGAAATTTTATGAAAAAAAACTTTGTATTTGAATAATTCAGTAATCGTTGAATTCTAATAATTGATTTAAAAAAGAATTCCCTTTAAAATTTTAAAAAATAATTGAATATTAGAAGAATTATAACATAAATTTTAAGAAATAATTAAATTTTTAAATGTTTTGAAATTGAAATCTTTTTAACATTTTAATCGCCGTAAAAGTATGATTTCTAATGTTTATTAGAAAAAATTATTAATATATTATTTTCCTTTAAAAATTATTAAAGTCTTAAGTTTCACAATATTTTACATTGAAATTATTTGAAATTTCAATTAAAATAAAAAACAAGTTTTTAAATATTTGTTTAAAAAAAATTAATGATATTTTGAATAATTTAAGGTAGAAATTCTAAAAAAAAATGTTTTTGAAAAATTGTAATTAAAATTTTTTTTTGAAAATAATTCCTGAAAATAATTTAAAAAATTGAAACAATTAAAAGTTTTGTCAAATTTAATTGAAATAAATTTGAAATTTGAAAGAATTTAATTTTATTCTTTTTGAAAATTATTTTGAAATATAATCGTATTTTTGGGCGCGTGTAATTTTGCTAGTTAGTGAAATAAATAAATAAATAAGATTTTTCGTCAAATTATTAACAAAATTTGAAACTGCAAATAATTACCTTGAGTCTTTCCATAATTTCTGATGAATCAAGTAAAATCTGCTCGGACAATTTTGCATCTATAGTTATTGGAGGTTTATCAAGTGGAAATTCATTGGTCAACAGGGAAACAGTTTCTTTTTCCGAACTATCTGCCTCGACTATTCCTAATCGGAAAAATGGTTGATGATCCAACATATGAAGATCCATTTGTACTTTATTCGGTAATACTTTCTGGCATTCGTTACACTGGTATTGTCTAAAAAATTGCAATTAAATTTGAAAATAAAATTTTAGAAATAGAAAAAAATTCAAAATATATATTTCATTTAAATTGAATTAATAATTATATTTAAAATACGCACTGCTTAGCTGCATGCATTTTTAAATGCCTGCTTAAACCTCCGTTTGTGCAGAATTTTTGCGCACATTCTATGCATTCGAATTCCTTTGAACCCTGATGAGTTTTTAAATGCTCCTGAAGAAAAATCGATTGATTTATTAATTGCATAATTAATAAATAATTATTAATGACTTGATAGAAATCGTTAATCTTAAAAATGAGTAAAAGTAAAATTACCTTCAAATCATTGGCTGTGAAACCATTTTTACTGCACATATGACACTGCAATAATGGCGTGATCTCGATAGAATTGCTTCCATTAATTACAGAGTTCTTCACAGCGTCATTCATGTGTCCCTCCACATGATGCATCAAATCCGATTCTCTCTTATATTGTTTATCACATATTGTACATCTAAAAAATATTATTTTTCAATCATATAAAAATCTAGAATTTAATACCAATTTCAAAGAATCAGAATTAAATTTTAATATCTATAAATTTATTCTATTTATTTGTTTATTGATATAAATTGAACCATTAATAAAAATTACTCACGGGAAATAGTATTTAGAACGTGAATAATTCGTTAATGATTTTTTCCCAGAATTTTGCTTATCCATAGGTGACTGAATTTCAGTCTGATTAGTTGTATCAGCCTTAGCAATAACTTTCGAGTATTTTTTATCATCTGGCACTGGTGCTAAAATTCCCATGTGAGATGGAATTGAATTAATTTTACTATTCAAGCATTTCAACTGATTAATTTCAATAGATTCGTTTGTCATCGGGACCGACAAAACTTCCTCTCGAACAGATTCCGGTAAAATATTTTCAATTGTCGTTTCTGAATCTATTGCAACATCTATAACTTCATTGCTCTGAAAATAATAAGAAAATTAATATATTAATTAATAATAAGTAATTAATAACAAGATCTCATTTTTGATGAGGAATTTAATTATATTCTCAACCAAATTAATTACGTTAGTTTCTGAAAGAATAAAAAATTTATAATTTTACCCATTCGATAAAATAATGAAAATAGATAAAAAAAATATTTAAAAAAACAGATTGATAATTTTTCTGATGTAAAGAAAATTGAATTCTTACGTGTAAAGAAATTTGATTCATATCAAATGTATCAAACTGTGGGGTAAATATATTAGTATTGATATTGTTCGGGACAGAGTTCAATGTTTTTTCTGTATCGTAAATAATATTGAGAACAGGTTGATTTCCCGAAACAGAATTCTTTTCCGCAAGGTCTTTAGATATTGAATTTTCAATTTCGAGATTCATTCCAATATCGAATAGTTGTTGATTCAATGTCTCTTCAATTTCTCGTATACTTTCCTGCAAAAGAAAAGAAAATTAAAAATGCATCATTGTAGAAGTATAGTTATTAAAAGTATTTCTAGTTAAAAATTAGAAAAATTTTTCAAGATAAAAACTTACGGCTGTGAGTGTCTGTTCTCCTGAATAATTTGGCAATGTTATCGTACCCGTTTCATCGGCATGTAAAGTTTGAGTGACTCTCAAATTATCACTATTTTCATTTAAAAGATTTTCTGCATGGAAAAAAGCATTATAATATTTAGAATTATTTCAAGAAATCGTTTGAAAAAATTCAATTATTAAATAATTTACTAATTAATTATAATTATTTTCTATTATCAAACACTTTAATAAATTCTTTTCCAAGAATTCAATTATTTTCGATTCAATTTCAATAAAATTTCAAAAAAGAATACAATTATTTTGAAAAATTTGATAAAATTCATCGTAAAAATTCAGTTATTTCGAAAAATTTTGATTAAATTCATCATGAGAATTAAAATATTTTCAATAGATACAAATTTAAGTAAATTTCTCGAAAAAATTCAATTATTTTCGGACATTTTAATGAAATTCTGATTTTCATAAATAATAAAATTTTTAGCAGAAATTTAAATATTTTAATAAATTTTAATAAAATTCTTTGCAAAAAATTTTTATTATTTTGAAAAAATTTAATTCTTTTCCTAAATAACAAAATTCTTCACAGAAATTCAATTATTTTGAAAAATTTTGATTAAATTCTTTATATAAGAATTTAAATATTTCCAATACAATTTTAATTAAATTCCTCGCAAAAATTCAATTATTTTTGAAAATTTTAATAAAATTCTTCACAGGAATTCAATTATTTATATAATTTATGAGAATTGAATTATTTTCATAATTAATAAAATTCTAAGCAGGAATTAAATTGTTTTAAAGAATTTTAATAAAATTCTTCTCAAAAATTTGTATTATTTTGAAAAATTCCAATAATATTCTTTCTAAAATGAAGATTTTGTTACATAAATTGAAAAAATTTAATTCTTTTTCAAAATAACAAAACTCTTCGCAAAAATCCAAATATTCTCATAATTTATAAAATTTTTAGCAGAAATTTAATTATTTTAATAAATTTTAATAAAATTCTTTGCAAAAAATTTAATTCTTTTCCTTAATAAGAAAATTCTTCGCAGAAATCCAATTATATTGAAAAATTTTATATAAGAATTGAAATATTTTTAATACAATTTTAATTAAATTCATCAAAAAAATACAATTGTTTTTGAAAATTTTAATTAAATTATTCGTAGAAATTCGATTATTTTTATAATTTTAATAAATTTCTTCGGGAGCGTTCACAAATGAACAATTTGTATTATTTTGAAAAATTTCAATAAAATTCTTTCTGAAATGAAAATTTCGTTACATAATTTGAACAATTTTAATTCTTTTTCAAAATAACAAAACTCTTCGCCGAAATTCAATTATTTTCATAATTTATAATATTTTTCGAAAAAATTTTATTATTTTGAAAAATTTTAATACAATTTTTTGCAAAAACTTTATTATTTTGAAAATTTTCAATAAATTTCTTTATAAGGAAAAAATTGAATTAAATACTTTAGAAAAATTTAATTCATTTACTAAATAACAAAATTCTTCGTAAAAATTCAGTTATTTTGACAAATTTTGGTTAACTTATTTTTTTATTCTATTTTTAATAGAATTTTGATAAAACTAGAACTCTTACCAAGATTTCAATTATTTTCACAGTTAATAATATTTCTCGAAAGAATTCGATTAATTTAAAAATTCAAAACATTAAAAAGAAAAAATTTATCAAAACAATTAGGAAATAAAAACAAAATTAACTTACGATTAATAGTTTGTTCGACAGAAATCGGTGTCGATTTTTGATTACTTTCCTCTATAATATTTCCATACTGACTCGATAAATTCGCAGTTAAATTAACAGTTGACGATTCAAATGGAACAGTTATTGAATCTGCTAAAGTAGTAAGACTTTCAGGTACGGAAAATTTATTTTCTTTATTCATCTCACTTTTTTTTGTTTGATCCAAAATTGTTATGACTTTTGGTTGCATTTTTTGCTGTTCAACTTGCTACGGAAAAAAAGATTCTTTAAGGATTAAAATAGATTAAAATGGATTAAAATAGATTAAAAGAGACAAAAATAGATTAAAATAGATTAAAAATTGATTGAAATTGATTAAAATTGATTAAAATATAAATAACAATAATAGAAGAAAATTAATTTGAACTTAATAAATAAAAGGGAAGAAATGAAAATTATTTTCCTGTACGAACCTGTTGAGCCAATTCGGATTTGTGTATTTTCATGTGTTTTCTGCAATTAACGGATGTTTTAAAAGTTTTGTGACAATAGGGACACATGAAAGGCCTTTTATTGCTATGCGTAATGAGGTGTCTTTTCATGCTGGAATGCGTTGTAAATTTGGCATTGCAAACGGAACAACTGTGCGGTCTCAAATCCTCGTGAGTGTGCAAATGCGTCTTCAAAACGCTGTTCGAAGTAAATTTCCTGCGTTGAATCGGAAGCAAAAAAAAAAAAATTCATTTGTCAATTTTTCGAAACTTAAGGGGACATCCCTTCCAATCCTTTGATCACAATTGAAATAGTTTTTCGTTAGATCATAAAAATTCTATTTCTAATCGTAAAAACCAATTTTTTTTTATTCGAAAAGCTCAATAAATAAAGATAATAAAAACATAATAATAAATAATAACAAATAATAATAATAAATAAAATTTATTAAAATTTAAAAATTCAGGTCAATTATTTGTCATTATGAATAAAAATGAAATACATGCAGACTGCAGGCAAGAAGCCACTTTTCTTTTTTCTTTTAAACAAAAGGCCAATTATCGTGAATTGAATTTGGAAAAAGGAAATTAAATACCTATCACATTTGGTACACTTGTAAGGTTTCTCTCCAGTGTGCCTGCGAAGATGTTGTTTCAAATGACTAATTTTTCGAAAGGCGGCAGTGCACATTGTACATTTATGAGGCCTTGCTGAATCGCCATCTTCATAAACTTGTTGCTTTTTCGATTTAATCTGAGCCACGCTTATTTTATTCCCTGAATCACTGATAAGCAACGGCTCCTCTAAGACTATTTGAGGAATGAGACTCTCAGCTTCTGGCGATAATTTCGTCTTCGGTTTTGAATGACATCTCATGTGATTTTTTAACAATGAACTTCCACTGAAACATTTACTGCACACGTTGCACGCAAACGATCTGGTATGTAACCTGCAGATATTTTTAATTCTTAATTATATCATTTTATCTCCTGGCTTATTTTTAGTTAGTTGAAAAATAAATTTAGTGGGATTTTTTTTTATTTTTATACAAATTACAAAATTTTTTATTTTCAAATATAAATTTTTTAATAATTCCATAATCAAAATTTTAAAAATTCAATTAGTAACTAATTTACTAATTAATTATTCATGTTTATTAATTTAAAAAATTTTAATAAAATTCTTTGGAAGAATTCAATTATTTTTATAAAAATTAGTAAAATTTTTTGCAAAAATTCAATTATTTTTAACAAAATTTTAATAAAATTTCACGAAAGAATTCAATTATTTTCTAAAATTTTAATAAATCCTTTTAAAAAATTTAATTATTTTTTTAAATAGTAAAATTCTTTGCAAAAATTCAATTATTTTCAATAAAATTTCAGGAAAGAATTTAATTTTTTTCTTAATTAGTTATAAAATTTATCAAAAGAATTTAATTATTTTCTAAAATTTTTAAAAATCTTTCGAAACAATTCAATTATTTTTATAAATAGTAAAAATATTTGCACGAATTCAATTATTTTCAAAACAATTTTAATCGAATTCCTCAGAAGAAATCAGTTTTATAAAAATTGTAATACATTTCGAATAAATTCAATTATTTTTTAAAATCTTAAGAAATTCTTTGAAACAATTCAATTATTTTTATAAATAGTAAAATTCTTCGCAAAAATTCAATTATTTTTAAAACAATTTTAATTGAATTCCTTGAAAGAATTCCAATATTTCTCAATATTTCCATAAAATTCAATTATTTCCTAAAATTTTAATGAATTCTTCGAAACATTTGAACCAATTTTATAAATAGGTACTAAATTTCTTTGCAAGAATTAAATTATTTTTAATACAATTTCAATAAAATTACACGAATGAATTTAATTACTTTCAAAAATTTCTATAAAATTCAATTTCAACAAGAATTTAAAATTCTCTAAAAATAATTCAGTTATTCTCAAAATATTTTAAAAAATTCTATATTAAAATTGAATTACTTTCAATGCAATTTTTAAATGTATTCGTCAAATAATTTTAAAGAATTCAATTATTTTCAAGAAATAATAAAATTCTTCTGATGAATTCAATTATTTTCAGGAAATAATAGAATTCTTCTGATGAATTCAATTATTTTGAATTTACTTAATTTTAATAAAATTCTAATTTTACAGAACTTTAAAATTGTTTTCGAACCAATTTTAATTGAGTTTCTCGCAAGAATTTAATTATTTTAAAATACTTCTATAAAATTCTTCAAAACAATTCAAATATTTCCTAAAATTTTTTTAAAACATTTTAATTATTCTTATAAACAGTAAAATTCTTTACAGAAATTCAATTCTTTTCAATACAATTTTAATAGAATTCCTCGAAAGAATTTAATTATTTTCAAATATTTCTATAAAATTCTTCAAAACAATTCCATTATTTCCTAAATTTTAATAAATTTTTTTAAACAAAATTTTTCTAAATTCTTTTCAAAACAATTTTAATATAATTCCTCGAAAGAATTTAATTATTTTTAAATATTTATAGAAAATTCATTTATTTCCTAAAATTTTAATAAATTCTTCGGAACAATTCAATTATTTTTATAAGTAGTAAAATTCTTCGCAAGAATTTTTTATTTAATTTATTTATTTATTTATTTATTTAATTTATTTAATTTTTTATTTTTTATTTTTTTTTAATAATAAAATTCTTCTCACGAATGTAATTATTCTCAATACACAATTTTAATAAAATTTTTCTTCATAAAATTCAATTACTTTCAATATTTTCAAAGAAAATTATTAAGGAAACTCCATGATTTTAAAAAAGTTCATAGAAATACTTCAAGAGAATTTAATAAGGATTTTAAAAAATTTTAATAAAATTCTTCTTGAGAATTGAATTATTTTTATAAATGAAAAAATTCTTTGAAGGAATTCACTTATTCTCTTCAAATTTTTTGATAAGATTCTTTGCAAGATTTCAATAATTTTCAATACATTATTTAAAATTGAAAATATTTAAAAAGGAGAATATTAAAAAAAGTTAGGAAACAAAAAAGCAAACAACAACTAACTTCAAACTGCGAACATATTACTGGAATACAACGATTATTATAGAAGAAGATAGAAGATAAAAAGATTTCTTTTTTATATACTCGGAAAAAATTGAACTAAATATTTTTGGGAATTTTTACGAAAAATTACCTAGTATGTGCTGTGAGACTGCTTCGAGTGGGAAATACTTTATCGCAAACTCCGCAAGGAAATTTCTTTAGAGCAGAATGTGTTCGCTCGTGAGCGGTCATTGTCGACTTTAAAGCGAACGAGCGGCTGCAATGTGAACACTGAAACAATAAACGGTTTTCACAAAGTGTGTCTAAGGATCAAATATTTTCAACTATAGAAATTTATTTTCAACTGTAGAAATATATTTTCAATTATAGAAATATATTTTCAACTATAGAAATATATTTTCAACTATAGAGATATATTTTCAAACATAAACTGAAAATGTTTAGAGAAAAGAAAAAAAATGCTTATAGCAGCAAAATTTTAAAGAAAAAAAAAATTCAAACAATAAAAAGAAATTAGTTAAAATTTTCAATTAAAAAATGAATTCCACCTTAAATGGCTTCTCTTGTGTATGAATACGTAAATGCCTTATGAGATCCGAAGGTTTTTTAAATTCCTTTTGGCAGAAAGTGCAAATGAACCACAACATGTCGCCCACGTGTCGTTGCTTGATTGTCACATATTTTCTGAAAAGGGATAATTAATTTCTCATTTATTGTATCATAATAATAATGATGTATTTTCAATAGTGCAATTATTAATTAACAATATTATTACTACCTCGCATCTCCATCGGCGGTTCGATCCAATAAAGTCACCATCATCGTTTTTCCTTTCGCCTTTTTACCCATTTCTATAAAATGAAAATTTACATTTAGAAAAAAATTATTTAAAAAAAAGAAAATAGAAATAAATTTCTGATAAATATTTTCTTTTCTCTCACTTGGTAGTCCACTGTTCTGCAACGCCTGTTGTAAAATATCGTTATTATCTTTCGCAGTTGAATCTGCTTGATTTTGCACTTCCGACTCCAGAGAAGCAAGCTGTAACATGACATTTTCCACAGTTGCCTGCATATCAGCATCTGACGTTGAACTATCACATTTTGGATTCTCATCCTGAAAATAAAGAAATTCTTCATTAAAAGAAATAGAAAATAAAAAATATAAAGAGATTTTTTCCCGATTTTCTTAATTTTCTTTTCTTATAAATTTTCTTTGAGAAAAAAAATTTGTACTTTATTTTAATTTACGTTCATATTTTTTTCGAGAAACAAAAATTAATTTTTATTTACGTTAATATTTTTTTCGAGAAAAGAAATTTGTAATTAATTATTTATTTACGTTCATATTTTCTTCAAGAAACAAAAATTAATTTTTATTTACGTTTATATTTTTTTCGAGAAAAAAAATTCGTAGGTAATTAATTTTTATTTATAGAACATATTTTTTGAAAAAACGTGTGAAGAAGAAAATAATTTTTTTTTTTACCTCATCAATGGGGAGAGCGTGTCTTCTTTTCAGGTGTGCATTCAAACTGCCAAGTTTTTTAAAAGCACATGTACAATAAGTGCACCGAAAAATTGAATCTTTATCGGGAAGATTATGAACCCGTTCGATGTGAGCGTTTAGATTGCCTGGAATGAAAAACAAACTTGGATCTAAACGAATAATAAAGTAAATTCGAGAACTGGTAGAAGATAAATTTTGAATTCTCTTTAACTCCCAATTCATAAATTGTTATAAATAAAATTAGAATCTATATTATTATTCAATATTATTCTTCCTGTATTAAAAATCGTTGTATTCCTTACTTTCTTTAAAATAATTTTTCTCTTTAAATATTTTCAATTTAAAAATTAATGTATTAAAAATAATTGAATTTTTAGAAAGAATTTTATCAAATAATTTGAAAAGAATTGAATTTATTAGACGAATTCTATTATTTATGAAAATAATTGAAATCTTACGACAAATTTGATTAAAATTTTTTAAACTGATTAAATTCATTCCTTAAATTTTATTAAAATTGTTTTAAAAATAATTGAATTTCTCAGAAGAGTTTTATTATTTATGAAAATAATTGAATTCTTTCGAAAAATTTTATTGAAAATTTGAAAAAAATAATTAAATCATTTCGAAAAACTTTATTAAAATTGCAGTGACAATAATTGAATTCCTCAGAACAATTTCTTTATTTATAAAAATAATTGAATCCTGTCATGAAATTTATTTTATTTTTTTTTTATTTGGAACATAACGGGAAATTTTGTTAAAATTGTTTTGAAAATAATTTAATTCTTTCGAAGAGTTTCTTTGAATCTTTTGAAAATAATGAAATGTTTTTTAATAATTTTAATTGAGAAATTTTGGAAATAATTTAATTTTATAAACAATTTCTTTCAACTTTTCAAAATAATTGTGTTAGTTAATAATAATTGAAATTAAAAATTTCATTATTGAATATTATTAAAATTTCTAGAAAATAAAATTCTTGACGAAATTTTATTATAATTTTTGAAATTAATTAAATTGAATTCAAGGAATTCTATTAAAATATTGAAAAATACTATTAAAGATTTTGACAATAATTGAATTCTTTCAAAAAATTTCTTTAATTTTTCTCAATATAATCAATTTTGTTAATAATCAATTAATTAATAATTTTATATAGCTAATAAATTTTATCAAAATTATTGAGAGAAAATTAAATTCTTTTAACAAATTTTATTACAGTTTTTGAAAATAATTCAATTCCGTGGAATAATTTCTTTGAATTTTTTGAAAATAATGGCATTTTTGTTAATAATTTTAAATGGAAATGTAAATAATAAAGAATTGAATAAAGAATTTTTTCAACTTTAAAAATAATCGTCTATGCTAATAACTATAATAAAAAATTTGATTATTGAGTATTATTAAAATTCAAATGAAAATAATTGAATTCCTGAGAAGAATTTTATTATTTATAACAATTTAATTCTTGCAAAAAATGTGTCTATTTATAAAAAAGAACGGAAATGTTTTAAAGAATTTATTAAAATTCTAGAAAATAATTGAATTCTTTGGAAAAATTTTATAAAAAGTTAAAAAAAAATAATTCAATCATTTCGAAAATTGTTTTAAAAATAAAAAAAAATTCAATTCAAAACAAATAAAGTTAAAAAATACCTTTCTGACTAAATTTAGCATTACAAAAATGGCAAGCGTGTGGCTTAAGTCCGTCATGTTGTTTCATATGGATTTGCAGTGAACCCTTTTGAGTAAATTTTCTGCTACAAGTCGTACACTAAAATCAATTAAAAATTAATTTCTTTTCTAAAAAATCTTTTCAATAATATGTTAAAAAAATAAATAGATTTTCTACCTTAAATGGTTTATCGCCTGTGTGAACCCTAATATGTCTCATTAATTGGCTAGGTTTTTGAAAAGTTTTGAAGCAAATTTTGCATTTGTACATTGTTTTGTGTCTCGCTCCTCTCTTCGTCTGCTTTACAAGTTTTGTCTGTAACTGTTTCAAATTAAACATTGAAATTAATTCACCGAGAAACTTTAGATATTTCTTTTTTTACTTTTTAGTAATTATAAAAATTAAAAATTAATCAACTAAAAAATTTTACATTCGAACTTCTTTCCGAAATAAAAAATATTCCAAAGTTCTGAACGTTCAAATGAACGAAATTATTTTATTTCTTCTTCAAATTGAATTTTTAGTTCAATACATTTGCGTCACTATAAAAAAAAATTAATTGTAAATTTTCTAAATGCAGAATTTATCAATTTCCAATTTTTGTTGCATTCAGAAATGTTTCTAAATACTTTTAATATAAAATATTTCGTTCATTTGAATATTAAAAACTTGTGGATCATCGATTTTTTCTAGATTTTCAGGCAATTTTTAGAGAGGCAAATTTAAAATAGAAAACTAAAATCGTAAGTCTGAAGAAGTTTGACGGACCCTGTAATGTTCTCTGATATGTTGTCTGTATAAAGCCGGTTGTGTGAATTGCTTGTGACAGAGTTTGCACTTTCTGACATCTTCGGTCGTCCATTTTTCGTTGTGAAGTTTCAGATGAGCGTCCAGTTGAGCCTAAAATAAAAATTTCGGAAAAATTACTAATAATAAATAAAAAATAAAATGAATAAAATTAAAAAACAATAATTCTTGAATTAAAAAAAAATAAATTTATTCAGACAGTAGAATAAATGCAATTAGATAATAAAACATCCTGTCACTGTAGTCATTTTTCAAACTTATCTGCCCTGTGTGTCTGTTACAACTACAGGTCATGCAACTCTTTTATTCTTTCAATAATTGGATTTTTTTTTTGCAAAATAAAATTCATTAAAAATTTCAACTTTGTTTAACTTATTTAATATTTAATTTATTTAAAATTTACTTGAACATAGAATATCTTGGAAAACAATAAAAGAATACCTTGTAATATTGAGCAGCGAGGCCTACACCAAAATGAAAAACTCGAGAGCAGACGATCAGAAATGCAAAATTCAGATAATCCGCAGTGAGTGTCATTGCAATAAGGTCCATAAAAAAACGTCGATTGAACACTTTCTCTCATAATTATAAAATCATCTCTACACGAAAACGACACTTGAATAAATTCTGTTCTTCAGTAAATAAATTTGAAAGTGGTATTAAAAAAAATCCCTTTTTGTCATAAAAAAATATTACATTCACACTATTTCATGAAAAAAAATTTCGATAATCAATAATAATTTTTTAAAGAAGAAAAAACGCTTTTTAGCTTTTTTTTACTTTTTTCTACTAAAAAAGTAAATAAAAAGCTAAAAAGCTTTTTATTTTTTTTTATCTTTTTATTTTATTTATTATTTATTTTATCTTTATTTTATAATGCAGAAAAAAGACTTTTTAGCTCTTTTTTCTTTTTTCTACCAAAAAAAGTAAAAAGATGATAACCAAAATTTAATTCTGTATTTCCTTGATTTTTCCCTGATTTCCAGACCAAATTTTGACAATTTATAATAATATTTATTATAAAACATGAAGAAATTGATCACTCCGAGTCTTCGACTCGGAGCAATCGTTTTCTTCATGTTTCATAATAATTAAAGAAATCTTTGAAAATTTTCAATTCCATTTATCTACAATTCAATTTAACGAAATTTCGATTATTCGAAAAGTCTTAAATTTAAATTAAAAAATAAGAACTTCAAATAATTTAAAAAAAAATTTAATTAAACTTTTTCAAAAAAAATTAATACTACACAATTTTTAATATCAAAAGTACTAAAAATTCAGGTTTTGAAACATTTTTATTTGAAACCTTTTCAAAATTCGATTATTTTTAAAATTTTCAAGTATTTGTAACTTTTAAAAAATTAAAAATTATTTTCTGCAATAATTGAATTTTTTCAAAGAGTTACTTTGAGTTTTTTTTAAAGAATGCAATTTTTATTAATAATTTTAATTGAAAATTTTGAAAATAATTGAATTTCATCAAAACTTTTATTAAATTTTTTAGAAAATAGTTGAATTTTTCCGATTGAATTTTATCAAAACTTTTATTAAATTTTTTAGAAAATAATTGAATTTTTCCGAAGAGTTTCTTTGAGTTTTTTTTAAAGAATGCAATTTTTATTAATAATTTTAATTGAAAATTTTGAAAATAATTGAATTTTATCAAAACTTTTATTAAATTTTTTAGAAAATAATTGAATTTTTCCGAAGAGTTTCTTTGAGTTTTTTTTTAAAGAATGCAATTTTTATTAATAATTTTAATTGAAAATTTTGAAAATAATTGAATTTTATCAAAACTTTTGAGAATAATTGAATTTTTTAGAAAAAAATTGTTACAATTTTTGAATATAATTGAATTCTTGTGAAGAACTTTATGAAAAAATTTGAAAATAATTGAATTCCTTTGAAAAATTTGATCAAAATTTCAGATAATAATTGAATTTTTATAACGAATATTATTACAAGTTTAAAAAATAATTGAATTCTCGAGAGGAATTTTTATTATTTATGAAAATAATTGAGTTCTTTGAGTTTTTTTAAACAATGCAATTTTTATTAATAATTTTAATTGAAAATTTTGAAAATAATTGAATTTTATCAAAACTTTTGAGAATAATTGAATTTTTTAGAAAAAAATTATTACAATTTTTGAAAATAATTCAATTCCTGTGAACAATTTCATTAATTATAAAAATAATTGAATCCTTTTGTGAAATTTTATTAAAATTGTTTTGAAAATAATTGAAATTTCGAAGAGTTTCTTTGAGTTTTTTTTTAAATAATGAAATTTTTGTTAATAATTTTAATTGAAAAATTTGAAAGGAATCGAATGTTATAAGGAATTTCTTTCGTGTAATTTCATTAAAATTATTGTATTAAAAATTTGATTATATTGAGTTTTATTGAGATTTTTTGGAAAATTGAATTCTTCTCTGAATTTCATTACAAATTTTGTAAATAATTGAATTTATTCCATGAATTTTTTTCAACAATATTTTAAATATAATTGAAGTTCTTTGTAGAATTTTATAAAAATGTTTGAAAATAATTGAAATCTTTCGAGAAATTTCGTTGAAATTGTATAAAAAATAATTGAATATCTATTGGGAAATTTTATTAAAATAATAGTTATTGAAAATCATTGAATTGAGGAAAATTTATAGAATAATTGAAATTTTGTAAAAATTTAAATAAAATTTTATTTAAATTTTTCAAAATAATTGAATTTTTGAGATGAATTTTATTATTTTTATTAAGGGTAATTAAATTTTTTGACGAGAACTTCTTTAAATTTTTGAACATAATTGACTCAAGAATTAAATTATCAAAAAGAAATTATTGTCAGAAATAGAAAAAATTGAAGGTTTTTTCATTTCATAAATATTAATATTTGTTATAATATTTCTTCATAGAAGAAATATTTTAAAATATTCAAATATTCAAAAATTGCATTTGATGATCTTTTTGCAGTGAAAAATTATTTTTTCCGAAAATGAAAAATTATTCGGAATTCAAATAATAAATGACGATAAAAATAATAATAAATAATGTATCAGGAAATAAAGTTTGAATAAATGAGTATCAAGAATTGATGCAATCGATTGAAGCTGAGAATTTCGCTCGAAGCACGTCTCATCTTATTATATTGAGATGAATATGCGTTTACATCATATTGACGTTGAAAATAAGAGTTCATCTTTTTATCATATCTATCGGTCTCGAAGCGTTCAGGAAGTCGCTTGCCCATCCTCTCCTGATTGTTTTCGACTTTCGAAACCTTGGTCTGATAAATTTATTTCGATATATCGAATTTTTAAAAAAATTTTCTAAAACAAAAATCAGAATCTATTTTCAGAGTCAGTTTTATTGCCTAGGCGATTTGAAACGAATTACTTTTCAAACGAGCATATTAAATTTTGTTCTATTTTGGTTCAGTCTGAAGCTTTCTAATTTCAGAAAAACTCAAGTCGTTTGTTTAATACTGGAATTATTTGTTTTTTTTTTTTTTTAATATTTTAGAAAATTTACAGCAAAGGACGAAGTTAGAAATTAATTTTTTATTTTCAATTCGTTTTTAATCGTCAAAGTATTTACTTAAACTGAAATTAACTGAAATTAACAAAAATAGCCCTGGGAGCAATAGTTAAATTTTTCTTCAAAAACAAAAAATTTGTTATTTTTCTTGCGTGAAAAATTTTAATTCCGAGAATAAAACTTTGACGATCGTTTCAATTATTAACGAAGACAATTGTGTCAACTAGCAGATAAATTTCAATTCAGATGCAAACAAGTTGCACTAATATTGTTTAAAATCGGATATTTTATTCACAAGAAAACTTATAAACCAAAAAAAAAAAAAGTAAAAAAGTAAAAAATAGAAATAAAAAATAGAATTAAAAAATAATTAAAAAATAGAAATAAAAATAGAAACAAAAATAGAAATAAAAATAGAGTTTTTAATAACCAGTAAAAATTACAATATTGAAAAAAATAGAAATAAACATAGTCTACTATTATTGTTTTGAATGACATTGCTCATTAAATCATTTCTCTTTCAGGGTTAAAAAAATTCTGATAAACTAGAACATATTATTCTTGAGACTTGTTCAGATAAAGTTCATCGCTTTATCGCCATCAGAAGAAGACAAATTTATCCATTCCGCGTTTAATTTCAATTACATTTGAAGAAAAAAAAAATATTGTTTACAATTTTTTACAAATCCACTTATTGCAATATTCGATTATTATTGCCAATAATAATATTTTGTTCAAGGAGTTTTTTTTTTAAGAATATATTCAAGAAATTTTATCACAAAAGTCCAACGCATCCGCCTGATAATAAAGTGCAGACAAAAACTCTAAATGAATATGCGACAGTTTCCTAGAAATTCATTATAATATGAGAAACGCAGTTGGCTTAATTTTATATTTAGTTCTTATTTTCAAACATCAACTTCAATTTTCATTTTTAGAATTTAAAATTTAAATTAATTATTTATTATCAAAAATTTTAATAAAATTCTTACGAGGAATTTTCAATGATTTTTAATACAATAATTTTAATGAAATTACAGGAAAGAATTGAATTAATTTAAAAAATTTTAGATAACATTTTTCGATGCAATTCAATTATTTTTATAAATAATAAAATTCTTCTCAAGAATTCAATTATTTTTTATAAAATTTCAATGAAATTTTTTGAAAGATTTCAATTATGTTCAAAAAATTTGATAAAATTCTTCCAAGAAATTCGATTATTTTTAAAAGTTTTGATAAAATGTTTTATAAGAATTCAATTTCTTTCATAAATAATAAATTTCTTCGCGGAAATTCAATTATTTACACTACAATTTCTGTAATACTTCTCGAAATAATTGTACTAATTTAAAAAATTTTAAACAATATTTTTCGAAGCAATTCAATTATTTTTTATAAATAATAAAATTCTTCTCAACAATTTAATGATTTTTTATACAATTTCAATGAAATTTCTCAAAAGATTTCAATTATGTTCAAAAGCTTTGATAAAATCCTTCAAAGGAATTCGATTATTTTTAAAAGTTTTGATAAAATGTTTTATAAGAATTCAA